TCAGCCCTATGGAAAATGTGGAAAATAAAGACCTCTCTTTTTTTGGTGGGAGGGTGGAGGGGAGGGCTGCGCTAGGATGATATTCCTTCAAGAACCTAGGATGATAACCCTTCAAGAGCAAAGATTTTTCTTCTGGGCTGAAGTATGTCGATAGTGACTTTTGTTGTATAAACTATCTTGATGCAACTTGCCGCGGTGCCTCTGAGTGGGATGTTAGGTGTAACCTACACTTTTTATGAAATGAGAAGTGTGTTTGTGCATGGGGTTCCTGGTCTTTCCATTTCTGATTATTTAGTTATTATTTTGATGTGCCAATGTTGTGGTGGAGTTTGTTTGATTAGCCATCTTTTTTTTTGGTTTGTTTCATCCAGTTATCGCTTGTGATGGACCTTCAATCAATGTTCTTGGGTGCAGTTTTGCAGGTCTGCCCTTGTAAAATGGACCTGAAGGTCTCCTTCCTCCCCAGAGAATGCGTGTTTGGCACTTTCTGAAATGAAACATCTTCAGCGTGTTTCAAATGGTGCATTGCAAGTGACCAGTAATGTCTGAAAAAAAATGAAGCTCTGTGCTTTATGTGTCTCCAGATGGGAAGATTAGGTGATGCCGTAGTCAAATGCCATTTCTGTACGGGTGCAAATTTTGAAGAGGCTGCAGTGTATTCACAGGCTGTGCTGCAGCCCTCCTGGCTGAGGTGCGTCTCGTGGGGGAACGCACAGCGCTGCCTTCTTGCCCTTAGGTTGAAGGCAGAGGCGATAAGCCTTGGTTGGAATATGGAAAATTGAGCAACCCAGATGTGACATTTCTCTTCTATCTGGATCCCTTTACCTTGCAGAAAAAGCTGTCCCCTTTTCACTTGCTTTTCAGAAGTGTTTAACATGAGAAAGGCCATAGTCCTGTTCAGACACACACAAAGASGTCTTGAGAGACCTTTTCCATCCCCTTGAGTCTCACTGTGGGGCTGCTTGTGCTTCTGCCTCCTTCCCCCACAYGTCTCCCTTCTCCAAACTGTGGCCTGAGAGACTGGAGCCCGCAGGAGTGCTGAGAGCTGCCTGCTTGTTGTTCTGCTTGTTCTTACCTMGCCAGGCCCACAACAATAGCCCTCATCTGCAGGGGATGAGCATCAGGGAATGCCCCCTCCTTATCAGGAGGGATTTGCTGCCTTGTTTAAAATAGCAGATGCACAAACTTATCATTTCTTATTAATTTTATAGTGGCTCTTGGCTCTCTATCTCCTGCATATCAGCCCTAGCATTGCCAGTAAATTATATTGGATTTGCAATTAAAAGCCAGCTGTGCCGATGAAGTACCAGCCAAATGCCAACTGTAACTGTCTCCGAGCCTTCCTAAGGGCAGTGCGCAGCACAAAGCTCTTCCTTCATCCCTTACTTCGAGAGGAGATGGTGAGAGTTTAAAATGGGGTCTCAGATACATTATTTTGTTAATCAAAATGTTCACTAAGAAATGTTCATTTTTTGATACTGTTTATGCATGGGAGCAGTGATTCCCAGAGCCAGAAAACTGCCGAGCAGTTCACTGTGTACAAAGTTATCCACTTGGGGAAAAGACTTCTAATCGCRGATGTGCCTCTCAGGGTGGTTGTTTTTCTCCCTCCAGATCTCATTTAAAATATTTGTTTGAGAAGTATTTTTGCTTCTGCTGTGTGGGTTTTCTTTAAGTGTTGCGAAGTGCTCTGCCCATTTACATTAAACAAGAATATACAAGTAGGCAGAGGGAAGAGCRCTGCAGACTCACTGCTTCCCGCCCTTCTGAAAATCCCTCCCGTTCAATGAACCCACGAGCTTTTGTGTCCCAGGTCTGAGTCTTAACAGAAACTTGCTGCAAGTTGTAGCAAAACCCTGGTAGTTTTGCCTTCTTTCCACCTTAGAACTGGGCAGGGCTTTTCCTGCACCGGCTTTTCCTGTTCCTCAGCTGGTTCCTAGAGCTGGAGCAGAAAATAGGGAACTCTCCTCTTTTGGCTGGATGGGCAGAGCAAGGTGGGAACCTGCAGCAATCTGCGCAGAGGCAAGGAAGCCAAAAGTGAGAAGAATGCAGGAGTTGCATCTCTTCTAAACCTATATCGGGACCTCTGATCGTGGAGTTATTGGCAGCATCCGAAAGCCCTTGGCAAGGGGAGAAGGAGAGCGTGTTAGGGCTGACCCGTGACAGGGGTGGAATCTGACTGCCCCCAGAGGGCTGGGTGCATCAGGGTGTGGAGGTCTGTGCTGTGGGTCCCCGATCCACAGGATCTTGCCAATGGGCTGAGGAAGGCCTCTGATAAAATGTTGATCGGCTGGATGGTTGGAGAGCTCCTCAAAGAGTCCCCATGCAGCAACACCAGTACTGCATTCAGAGCCTGAAGTCATCGCCTCAAAAGCCAAATCTATAAACCCCAAATACCCTCAGYGAATGTTGTGTGTATGTGCAGCTTTTAATGTCTGCTCTTGCGTGTTTGCACTGTAGTGAAGTTGTAAGTGTATTATTGCATGCAGTATACTCCAGCAAGGCTACATGTGGCTGCAAAAATCTGATTATGGGGTAATACATATGGCATGTGTAGTAAATATCCCAGCCTTCACGCTTTAAAAATAGTTTTTCACTTCAAAGATTGTGGTGTTTAGTCTGTCCTTTGGCCTTACAAGGCAAGCGCAGAGTCTGTCAACATCCTGGATGTTAATTGGCTCTAGCGGTTATCTTTCGTCAGGATGAAGAGATTGGTGTAGCAAACAGTGTGGGAGTGTTTGCTCCTGCCGTTCCTCTCCATGTTAGCTTTAAACGTGCTAGCTTTCCCTGTCCGCCTCTTAAATCACGTTATTTCATAAAGAGTAAAAGGAAACATAATTTGGAGCAGCAGTGAGCTGAACCCAAGTTAATAGTTTGAATTGCACTCCATCTGTTCAGTTGCGTGGCCTGATGGATGTGCTGAACCCATTTTTCACAATTTTGTTTTAAGCTGGTAAGAACCATCTCTACTGGCTTCAGTCCAAGGTGTCTGTTCAGGGAAACTTTGTGTCTGGACTCTGATGTCCAGAGGGAGAGATTGAGTCTTCAAATGTTAAGCGACTTCTTTTACTTGCAAGTTGCTAGTTTTGGAAAGATTATATTCTTCTCTGGACTTGAACAATTTAAAATGAGAAAAAAAAAAAGTGTGCACGCACATACACTATAAAATTTGCAAACGTGATTATGCTGGACCTGCTCTAAATCGGCTTATTGCTGTTTTATGATTGCAAGTAAGCAGTCACAGGAGCCAGGGTGATTGGCCTTGCCATGTGCGCATGCTGCTGGTAACTCAATAACCGATGAACACCCACCGTGGTCTCCGAACCTCAGAGCCTTTGATGTAGCAACAAACAAGACAGATTGCTGTAATTTATCTGGCCCCTGGAGGGCTGTGCTGGTAATGTGCCACGAGCCCAAGGGCCATCCATCCATAATCTGTGCAAAAATACAGCAGATTGCAGTCATCTCGTCTTTGTTCCATGCAGCAGCCCTGCCTGCAAGAGTTTGTGTGTGCCCAGTGTGCAATACTTGYTCTTGATTTCCAGCAGCCAGGGGCAGGAAGGCTGAGGGTGTAGTAGGTCCATTCCCTCCAGTAAGTCTAGTTATTTGTGTTTTGTGCTAAATATACTCCGTTCAAATGGAGTTTGCAGCACTGGAGATGCGGCATTTCCTGGGATGCCTTTACAAGTGCAATGGAAAGGTGGGTCCAGAAGGAGTGCTGCATTTKGGGGAGAAAGACCAGGATTTTGTGAAGCAGTAAGCAGGCTTCCTGGCGAGGAGGAAAGGTGCTGCGCTCAGGTAAACCAGACTCACACGGGGACGGCGAGGAGGAGCGCGGCCGCCCATGGCGTGCATGAGCCTCTGCTGGGGTAGGGATCTCCTCGCCTCGGCTCCGCGGGCACGGGCACCATGAGTGGCTGCTGGGTCTTGTCTGTCCATCTGCTCTGCTTGTGCTCACGTGCCAGCAGCTTGCGGGCAGCTGGAAGGATGAAATCTTTCTCTCCCCGTGGAGCACGTTGCTCCGTATAGAGCTGCTGACATATGTACACTATATACTCTATATAGAACTACTGTCTATTTAAAGATTCTTTTGTCACAGAATAATTAGCCAGGTAACCTTTAAAGGAGATGTTATTGCAGGAGGGACTGGGAGAAGGAGCAAGAGTAGTATTGGAAGTCAAGCTTTGTCAGCTTTAGTTTCTAGCCTGGTTTCGTATTGTGTAGCATAATACCTTTTTCTGTCTGGACTCTTATCACTACCAGGGCAAGGTTTTATGTTATCTCAAAACCATTTTTTTTTTCATAGTTTAAAAAACAAACAAAAACTCAAAAAAAATCTCCTCCTTGGCTGGAGGGTTGCTTTGACAGAATGCAATATCCTGAGTTYGAAATGGGGTCTGGAGGCTTGTCTTGCCAAATGTCCCCATAGAAAAATTGGTTGTTGTATGATGGAAGGGGTAGAAAAGTGGGAGTGCTGCCTCAGGACCAGCTGCTGGGCCGCTTGGTCCTGCTTGGAGATTGTCTGCTCGCTCTTCAGCGAGTTGCTCATTACCTGGCTGCTGGCGAGAGCAGCGCTTGACCTTATCTCGCACRGCTGTCATGCGAGTCGAATGATGCTGAAGTGAAAAGTGTCCCCCCTGCCTGTGAAGTAGGAACATGGGCATGTGATGCTAATGCAGTTGAGCTGTCCCCTCAACTCCTTGAGGTATCACCTGGCACTCGAGCCTCGTAGCTCAACTGGTGAGTCTCTGCAAGTGTGCCCTCCTCCTCGCATTGCCCTGTAGAGCTTGCTGGCCCTCAGTGCCTTATTGGGGATGATGTGGTGCCCCATTGCTCTTCATTTTGCTGTGGCTCCGGGATGGGCAGCAGCCGAAGTGGCAATGTCCCCATGCTTCCATCACTGACACGGGCCTTGATAAATGCTAGCCTGCCCATGRCCCCGGGAAATGAATGAGGGGGAACCTGCCAAAAAGTCACGCGTGGCTCTTCTTCTCCCACAGGCATGGCCCTAGCGCAGCGCCAAGTGACGGTGCAGGAGGGTCCCCTCTACCGCACGGAGGGCTCCCACGTCACGCTGTGGTGCCGGGTGAGCGGCTACCAGGGCCCGGCGGAGCAGAACTTCCAGTGGTCCATCTACCTGCCGTCGGCGCCCGAGCGCGAGGTGCAGATCGTGAGCACGGCCGACCCCTCCTTCCCCTACGCCATCTACACGCAGCGCGTGCGCAGCCGGGAGATCTACGTGGAGCGGCTGCAGGGCGACGCGGCCCGGCTGCACATCGCCGAGCTGCAGGAGCGCGACGCCGGCGAGTACGAGTGCCACACGCCCACCACCGACGAGAGGTACTTCGGGAGCTACAGCGCCAAGATGACCCTCGTGGGTAAGCTTCGTGGCGCGGGCGGCCGCTGCGGCTCCTGGAGAGGCTTGGAAAACTGGAGCGTTTGCCTGGCGCCTCTGACTCTCTCCTTGGACTTTCTCAGGCTTGCCGTTGTTTTTTGTGTCTTAAAACTGAGTAGGATCTGAAGTGTGTTGTGCAGCTARCGGTTCTCAAACTGCTTCATCAGGTTTTTTGGCTAAAGGGCCCCCAAAGCTGTTCCCTAACACCTGTATAACTAATTTAAGCCCCCAGGTGATCGGCTTGCTTTTCTTAGCYGTGTCTTTCAGGTGCCCCAGAAGCACTCTGTGTAGCTTTGGCATGTCACCCGCTTCATTACTCAGACTTACAGGTCAGAGAGATTGGGGTGTTGCAGGTTCAAGCCCTGTTGACACAGGAAAGCCATTGTGCAGGGAGCCYGGGGAGAATTTAAATCACAATAGCYCTCCTCCASGCTCACCACCTCTTTGTGMTTTGGCTTGTTCACCTCTGGAAGTGTCAACAGAGGCGGCTGTGGCAGAGTGACTCTCCCACACTACTTCCCAGGGTGGAGAAGCCCCAAGGGCTGGAGCTCAAACAGTTATTTAGATGTCTGCTTTTCCATTTAATTTTAGTGAACAACTTCCTTAAGTAAGAGTTAGATGCCTTTTTTTTTTCTTTTTTGAGTTATGTGATTTGCTTCATGTGTCTAGAGATGTGATTTCCTGTTCAAAGCAATCTGAGTCAGTGTTGCCCCAGAAAGCCACTTTAGGGAGGTAAACTTGTTGAAAACTGAACACCACAGAAGAGAGGGCCATAGGTGAGGGTGGGGTTGTGGCAGTGCAGGTTTGTGACCATGTGTGCCTGCCAGGGAGCTGCACYCCATGACTTGCTGTTGTGCTGGAACCTAGCCTTCAAGGCATAGACCTTACGAAGAAGGAGCTTYATTTAGCTCCAGAATCACCCGAGCTGGGCAGTGCGCAGTGGCTGAATTACCCATCTGCTGGTGGGCTCTGTGGGGAGCTTGGGTGRTGAAGCTTGCCTGAAGAGGATCTGGGGGCTAGCTGGCCTGTCTGATGGGGGCAGAAGGGATTGGCCATGCTCCTCCTCAGCTTTTCCCCTGATGGAGGTGKACTGGAGGCACAGGGAGGTGGCACTATTTGGATTTTAACCCTAGGACATCAGATTCTTTGGTGGCCACYGTAGGTTTGCTGGGTGAGGTGCTTCTGCTCTCTGCTACCCTTGCCATTAGAATGAGGCATGTGCAGCCTGAGGCTCAGCACCATAGACATCCATGAACAGTGCCTTCAGGTCATACACTTAAGGGTCTATGTATGTCAAAGATCCTCAAGGAAATTGTTCTGATTTTTTTTTTTAATAAAGTTCATGAAAGATATATATTTAATCTATAAACAGATCAAATAACTTATTCAGAGAAGTCAATTTAAAATAACTTTCAGGGGATTAGTTAAAACACATTAAGCCCCTTCATGGATGTTCCTGCTCAGAATTCATGGCYCTAATTTGATTTAGTTTAATTCCTTTCCAAAACCTCACTTTGGAAGTGATTTAAGGCCACTTTAAGTTTTGAATATGCGCCTCTGCATAGGCATTCACTGAGGTTAAACCCTGAGACCAACTGAATGGTTGAGTCACTGAATGTTGCAGAGTGCCTGCTGTGATGGCCCATGACCCTACGCTCTTCCGAAGCCCTCCGCGTCCTGGAAGTGCCCACCTCGGAGAGACCCCTAGGGAACCTTTGCAGCCTGCGCCAGTACGGCCACGCTGCCTCACCAGCCTTGCCCCCTCTCCGTGCCCCGTGCCCCATGCTGCTGTGCAGCCCTCCAGAGGCGCCTGCAGCTGGAGCAGGGAGGAGTGTGGCCTCCGAGTGTGGTCACCGGCCAGCCCCGCTTGTGCTTGGAAAGCAGCTGCCTTTGCCCCTTCAGCCTGGTGGCAGAAGTTGGCGTGTGCAGCCTGTGGTGACTGTCAAGTGTAAAACAGCAGGGCAACGGGGCTGATTTGGAGAGTGCTGGGAGCCTGTGGAGATGTTTCTGTCCCGTTTTGGAAGGGAAAAGGAATTGGGCAGTAGTTCCCTGCGTCTCCGTTAGCTTGAACTGGTGCTGCCTTCGGCCCCATCCGTATGTTTTAGCTATGCAGGGAGGGCTTTTACTAACCCGAGTGAGTAAAAATCCCTTTTCCTCCACTTACCTGGTTGTAGCAAGAGAGGCTCCTGCCCTCGTGTGTCTGCAGGCTGCGGAGAGCACCCCCCAGCTTTCCCCGGGGTTTAGCTCTCAGCTACAGGTCAYGGGTTTTCAGACCTGCTTCATTGCTGTGTATGATAGTCAAGAAGAGCAGCATGAGGGCTAAATGAGAATTATTGTTCTCATTTTCTCAGAAACAGAACCAAACTTTTTTTTTTCTTTCATGCAGTTATGAATTTTTAATTGAGTCATTAGATTGAGTGGCTCTTTTTTGGCAGGAGAAAAGCCTGGAGGGAGGCAGGTTTGTTAGCATCTCCATTCTCTCCATTTATGTGTGAAATGGATGGCTTTGGAGCAGTGTTGATTTTCAAGYTGCTGTTCTGGGAGCTTTTGAACTGTTGGTGCTGTGGTTTGAGGGAGGAGCTGAAGGAAGATTGTGTTTTACTTTGTTTTCCTCCCACCCTGCTCACTCCAGGTGATAGAGCTGGAGATTTTGGCGGGGAACTCCGTAGGTTTGGGTGCTGGCTGGGATGCTGGTGCTGCCTCACGCTGGTGGCTGCAGTTGGAGTCCTGTCAGCATGGAGGTAYCTCAGCTTGCAGCAGAGACAGCTGTGATGGGCCCTTGCTCTGGCTCTCTGAGCAGTATTGAGGGCTACATATCAAGGGGTCTTCAGTCCCCTGGTAATAAAGCATTATAAAGATGGTGCAAGATGGACTTGAAAGTGTGCTTCTATCCACACGRTGAACAGCAAGCATTCTTGCTTATTCCTCTTCCCTTTCTGGCCTGTCTTTCCAAGATCCTATTTTGTTGATCAGGGATCTAGGTCTGGATCTAGTGCTCCTCAGTGGGCTCAATGTTTCCAGTGCCGGAAGAAGAAGCTTCTCTGAGGCACTCTGTGGGACTCTTGTCTTCACTGACTTGAATTTAGGTCTGCAAAATGAGTGCTAATCTTGCAGAAGYTAGGATTGAGAGCAGTAACGTGTCTCAGGGGCCTTCTACCCTGAAGTGTGGGGAAGTGTGTGTTGTGTCTYAGTATTTTTCGCCAGTCTCCATTTCACATATTGGTTGTTTCAAAATGAATGTTTCTTGCCCTATCTTGCTGCTAGTTATCTCCTCCTGAGCTGCGGTGAGGGGAAGAAGCAGTTATGTCTGGGCTGAGAGACATGTTGGGAAGAAGAGCTTTTGCCTTCTCAAACTGAACTGCCGGTACTGAGGGAGACAGGAAAAAATAGGTGCAGCTCTGCAGGATGCAGTGGGACTATGACTGCTTTAGGAGCCATAGGATCCCATGCAGTGGGACCATGGCTGCTTTAGGAGAAAGGATTAGCTCGCGTACAACGTCTGCATCTCCACTGTTTGCCTTCAGAGCAGCTGTTAAGAGTTTAATTCCCCAAGGCTGACATGAAATTGCTCGACCTAATTCATGCTCTTCTACTCACAGATGGGGAGAAGATTTTTAGAAGCTCATGAGTGGCACCACACTCATCTAGCATCAGRCCCATGTCTAGGCTTCTTGTTGAGRCACTTTCTGTACTCAGGAAAGAGAGGGGCACATCTGGAGAGCAGCCCACCCTTGTTTAAATTAGRTTCATCTTTCTATGTGTTGATTATGGAGAGAACCTAGATGCTTAACTTGGGTTAGGCAGCTTCTGTTAAGGGAAGTAAATCCTTCCTTTAGCAACGGTTGAAGACTTGACTGCTTTTGAAAATTTCACCCACGGGGCTCCTAGTGATGGAAATTCTGGCTTTACGGTTGAAATGAGAAGACATTTGGCATATTGAAGAGAACCTTTGCAAWCAATATGTGTTAAATGAGGGAGCTAGGGACTGTGCATGGTCTTGACYTGCTCCATACTATCTGCAAGAAGTATGTGGGCTCTTCTTCCTCTTTCTACAGAAGGTAGGAATGACAAGGAGTTTGCAGGTGATGGAAAGCGGTGTCTCAGTTATGCAGCATCACCACTAGCAGGGTGCAGTATTTTCCATAGTGTCATGTTATTAACCCTGTCCTAATATCTCCTGAAGTAGAGGAAGAAGACAAATTTGCTCTGCAGTAATTCAGGTTGTGAATCTTTGTGATTCTGAGTGACCAAAGGTACTGGTCTGTGTGTCTCATTTTAAGTTTTTGGGCAAATAAGCTTTGGTTATGCCTTTGGGTGACAGTGAACATGTGGCAGTTACTTCAGGATACCTGAATCATTGCAGATTTGCACTCCGTGTCTCTGCAGTGAGTTATTTGTGCGCTGTGTGTCTGTGCCATTACTTAGGTAACAGTAGGATCCCAGTTTAACCTTTCCAGAAGTTCCACACTTTTATGACCATATCTTCTTTAATCCACACTCCAAGAAATGTTGAGCTCTTCTTCAGAATGAAAGTGATTGGAGGGAGGGAATCAAGCTTTGAGGTGGTTCTTAGGTAGTTTCAGGAGGAAAGAGGGCTTCAAAGTGTTTGAGGAGATGGCAGCTCCTTTACTCTTTATTTCTTAGGAATATTGCRGAAGCAACTGTTCAGCATCGATTCCGAATGCTTTAAAGTAAAAAAAGAGGGAAAAAAAAAAAAAAAAGGCGGCATTGGGAGGGGGTGAGAGAGCTTCCTTTAAGATACTACAGAGTGAGAAAGAGTGCAGGCCTGRGGGGTGAGCACTCGAGCACAGTAGTCTCAGCAGCAAAGGAAGAGCTGTTGTGGAGCTGGCTGGTTTGTGCAGGGGCAGGCTTAGGGGAAAGGAACACGATGAGGTTAATATTGTGACTTGGTGCCTTTCTCAGCTGGGCTGCGCTTCTGCTCCACTGTCCCAGCTGCTTCTTGCACCCTCGCTGGGACCATCT